ATAAAATAATCTAAAAAAAAATATATAATTTTTGTCCCTAGTTTATGTCGCTAAGAAACTGACATTTAAATGCTTAAGAAAAAACTATATTTTAGGGCCGGGTTGGAAGTTGAAGCATCAAGGTCGATCTGCGGGTGACTTCTCACGCACTAAGCAATCTTATTTTTAAGTGACGTAAGTTGTTTGTCACTCTTGTGCGAGACATTTACCAGGACACATAACTCTCCCTGACATCTGGGCGTCTCTAACACCTGACATTGTGAACCACGACGCCCAAGATTGCTTTATTCTCAAAAAAAAAAAAAAAAATCGCTAGTCAGCAGTGTTTGTCATAAAATGTGCTGTGTACTGGGCGTTGCAGAACGCTCTAGTAGGAGCACAGCAAAAGCTATGAGGATTCGCTCCTTCACGGGAAGGAATGTTTTGATGCTGGTGAGGGGGTTTTAATCTAAGGAATTGGAGATGCCATCCCCTTCCTTGTATCAAACTGAATTAGCTCCCATTCACCAAGTGCTGTATCATCCTGGGTGGCCCAGGTGGACTGTGCACGGTTCGATTCGCTCTGGTCAACATCGACCGTTTCCTTACACCTGTTGTCCTGTTCACCTAGCGGCAAATAGGTACTTGGTTAGTCTGACTGGTGTGGGTCGCATCCTGGGGGACAATTAGACCCCAATGGAAATAGTTAGACAGTCCTCGAGACCAACCTGATCTTTCTGGGTGTATCTCCTGGTGGCTAACCTCCGGGGTAAAAATTTCAACGAAACTTATTTATCTATTTATCCATCGCCAAATTACTTTCACTAACGCTCTGTCATCTCCGGATCATCCTTCGTACCTCTTGTCCTCTATCCCTGAAGTGATACAGTCAGGTTTAGGCACTTCCATCTTTGACCGTAGTTATCCTGGAAACCTCACATTACCTCCTCTATGACGCAACTTGCACACCGGCTGAACCTTCTTAAAATACCCTTGCTCATCTTTATGGGGGCCTGATCGTCGAACTCTCCCTTCGCCTACATTCCGCCTCATTTTATCGAAACTTGATATGGTGACCAATCTATTAGCGCCTCTCTGCCTAGCCTTAACCATTCATCACCAAGGATTACTTATGCCTTGGGCTTTTCGCTCTCCCCAGAGAGCCTCTATGCAGAAGGAACGTTCCAGTCCTTATCCGATGCGTGATGCATTGCCTTCCTACTATACCTCTCATGACTCGCAATCCTCCATTGAAGGTCACCGTATTAGTAGACTTCTTATTTGTCGCCGCTGTTGCTCCGTCCCTTTCCTTCGCTACATTCGCTCTTTCTTCTCTTCAATTACCACCTCTCTTGTTCATGGCATCTCACATTCCTACCCTGGGAAGTTCCAGCTGTTCGAGTCGTTCTTTTACCCCTTGCTCGAGCCAATGTCTACGGTAGCTTCCCGCTCTTTTTCTTGACATTCCACTCTCATTCTCATGCATTGCGTGTACACGTGGCTCTAAGTCTATCTGACGGCGTAGGATTCGCAGCATGTTTCCGGACAGCGTCGTACGAGGGCATTTACTATCTTCGGCTAGTATCTTTACTGCTGAATTGTATGCCATTCTTGCAGCACTTATCCGTATTGCATTATGCCTGTGTCATCATTTGTGGTTGTCTCAGACTCCCTTAGTGCTTTACAGGCTATACAGAAATTTGATACACCTCACCCCTTAGTCCTCCGTATCCAACTTTGGCTATGCCGCATCTCTACCAAGCATAAAGATATTTTTTTTGTTGGGGCCCTGGTCATGTTGACGTACAGGGCAATGAACAGGCAGACACTGCTGCTCGGTACATGACCTACCAGTTTCATATAGAGGTGTTCCATTTACAGACTATTTTGCTGCAATAGCTACTCACCTTCACACCCGTTGGCAACAACGATGGTCTACTCTACTCGGTAACAAACTTCAATCTATTAAACCGAGTATAGGTTACTGGCCGTCTTCTTGTCACCAGTGTCGAGGTTGGGAGACTACTCTCTCCCGTCTTCGCATTGGCCATAGTCGTCTTACTCATGGTTAACTCATGGAGAGGCGCCCTGCTCCTCTCTGTGAGAATTGTCAGGTTCCATTATCGGTTAGCCACATTCTGTTAGACTGCCCACTTTATCAACGAGCACGCAGAATGTACCTCCAACGTCGTCTTCGCTCCGCTGCTCTCTCTTTACCTTCCCTTCTCGCTGATGGACCCACCTTTCATCCGGACTCTCTCATTGACTTTTTGACAACAACTGACTTACTTCACAAACTCTGATGATAGCTTCAGCCCTTTCTACCTCAATCTCTTGCTACCCTCTACCCCCGTACTATCCCCTGCCCCGCTGTTTTCTGTAACCTACTGATCATCCCTTCCCCCTTTTGCCGCCCAATACCCTCGCTTCCTTCCCTCCCCTGCAGCGCTGTATAGCCCTTGTGGCTTAGCGCTTCTTTTTTATTATAATAATAATAATCATCCATACGGGTTTAACTCATCTACATGAATAATAATGTAAGATGTTAGGATGTAGCAGCTGGTGGTCATATGCTAGCCTGGGCATCATTGATCGCTGACTTGCCACTGCTGGATCTGAGTGACGCTCTGGGTAAATCCGCTAGTAAGTTTATTCAGGTATACACAAATACAGTTACATAGATTATCATACATAGCAGCATATGTGTAGAGAACCTGGGATAACCCAAAAAAGTCAGACAGTGACTTATTTCCATTGTGGTCCTTATTTATTTCCACACACCGCTAGTTGTGCACACAAACGGATCCAGAGACCAATCTATTCAAAACGCCGAGAGTCTGGGACCACATGGAGCTCCCAGCGGGATAAGGAAGAACTTTTGTAGTTATCGTGATACTGCAACCTTATTTTGTATGATAGTTACATGACAGTAACAAAAGCTGTTTTCTTGTCATATTTCATCACGTTGGAAGAGGTTTTTACATCAAATGATGAAATGTGTCACCCTGAGCTGGGAGATTTAGGTGGGGCATAAGAATATCAAGTACAGTATTCCATTAAAGGTTTAGCAGCTTCCAAGGTTTCGTTCCAGTAGAACTGCAGTTATTATTATTATTTGTAAATTATTGTCCCTCAGGATGGTACACCACACAGTGAGAAATCATTGGGACCCCTAGTGGTGTAGAAGGGCACTATAACCCTTCTCTGGAGTCAGGATAAAACTCCGAAAACTTTAATAAACATATCTAGAGTATGTGCATTCTGACATATGTTAGAAAGATTCGTTTTAGAAAAGTCTTGCAGAATTTTTATAATGTCAAGTTTATAATTCTTATATAAGAAACTTTACTGAACATTATTAAGTTAGGTGCATATTATCATCCAGTTTTGGTCAAGTATAATACATCTCACTGCGCAGTTATTTTATTCAAGGGGAAGTATAGACCAGTACGGATCATAGAGCTCCTGGGGATGAGAGGAGTCAGGTTTGATCCCGGGAAGGGAATCTATGAATAAGTCCAACTCACACCGACTCGACTCGTGTACCTGTCCAACCCGTATTTCAAGCTACCCAGAGAGCTCGCCTGCAGGATAATGCCTTGAAGATTATTGATACTATTACTGCCATCATAAGAAACCATGTAGCTAAAAGTAATATCCATAGTAGGCAATTTACAGTGTAACTGCTTACTATCTTTTCGAGAAAGACAACAGCTGCTCTATATGACTCCTACGAGTTTCCACCAAATTAAAATAAATAAAGAAAATAACGTTCTCAAGGGAACGGAGTCTAGAAGCAGATTGAACTCCAAGAAATTTGCATAGGCTGTAGCTGAAAAGGTAGCGATAAGTGTATATTGAAACAGCCAAGATACAGCTGATAGCACCAGTGGCATGTCAACTAGTTGAGTACGAGTTAACACGCCATCATTTTGGAGGTATGTTCACTCACAGGATGTGTGGCGCTGTCCCATAAACTAACTCCTGGGAGTAAAATGTAATCGTAGGCCTGAGACAAAGCGAGATTAACGGATCGTCTATATATCATCTTCTAACGCAGATCAGCAGACTTTTATAGATTACCACTGAGCCTGGACTAATTCTGAAATATTGTCCAACCAGATAATAAATTGTGCAAACTATACATTTTATCAGCACAGTTATTCTTATGGGTTGCATCATTACGGTGTCCCGTAGCTCCATTGCTAGCACACTCATCTGGCACATTGAGATCCGTGGTTCGATTCCCGGTACAGGTGGAAACAAGGACGTGTTTCCATAAAACACCTGCTGTCTTAAGGAAAATAGGTACCTTAGTGTTAGTCGACTGGTGTGGGTCGCATCGTGGGGACAAAATTGACCTAATTTGCCCGAAATGCTGTGCATATCAGGGACTTTCTATATAGCAGTATGTCATTGATGTTAGCTATGCCTGTATATCTTGTACATGTACTTGTAGAAATAAAGATTATTATTATTATTATTATATTAATTTGAAAGTAAAATGATCTTAGAATTGAGAAAAAATTCTTTGACAGATGTTTAAGAGGGTATACCATAGTTATACACAAATAACCCGCACACAGAGGACTGAAATTTATGACGACGTTTTGGTCCGACTTTGACCATTAACCAGTCACACAAACCGAAACGTCGTCATAATTTTCAGTCTCCTATGTGCGGGTTTTTTGTGTATTCAAGTCACAGTATAGTGCCCTTTTATTCTTCATGCCATAGGTATAGCTGGGCTACAAAATGACTAAAGTCAGGTAAAACAGCTTTTAGCTTGTAAAACCTGTATGAAATATGTACACATATTTCAAACATAAATGACATGTCAAATATTGTTTCAAAGTATCGCAACTTGGTTTTTAAATGTTTCATTACAACTGTAACCCGAAAATGCTAAATAACGGCGGGCCTAGCTTCTAGGCCCATTATGTGAGTCTGTTATTTCGACTAGCCTTTCACTGGATGGATTTGGGGTACACATTAAAGCTATTACTTAAAAAAAAAATTACCATGCACGGGTAGATGTCCTCTGCCTTGGGACACAGGTTGCAGATTGTTAAATGGCCTCTCAGGTTACGAGACTGGGCGTGAAGAGTGTAGGATTGGTCCTTGCTGATGCGACCAGTATTTTGAGATCCTTGATGGGGACGACCTTGGAAAGCAGTATGAAACGGAGCTCTGTCTCCTTGACCACTACCGTTGACTCGAACATCACCGGAAGGGAAGCTTCGGCTGTTTACTGTGGCAGAATGGACGGCTTGCACCACCACTAAACACAACAACACCTTCACCGACATTGTTAGGTCTTTGGCGTTGAGTAATGGAAGTCTATTCGATGGTGACGTTATGTATCACACGTCACTCAGTAATTCCAGAAAGTTTTGCGATTATGTAGAATCCTTGCCTAGAAAAGGTGCAAGGAGTCTGGATCGTGATATGGCTAATACAAATCTTCGAAATATACGGGGGAACTGAAGTGCTGATGTAAATACTACTCAGTGAGGACACTAGACGAAGAACACGCCAGATGGATGGACCTCGTATGAACAAGGCATCGGCACGATTTAACGCTGTTTATATGGCTAGGGTTAAATGTATAGTGTAGCCAGTGACCCCAGGTAGTACTACAGGGGCAACACGGGTGCTGCCAACGAAGTACCATTCGGGTCTTCCCGTGGTAATCTGCGGAAGGGGCGGCTTTCACACCCGTTTATTCCAACATTTTATGCACACTCCTACTGCCTTCGTTTCTGACCACCAGGGTTTGAGCTGTGGTTGTGGTGCGGTTGTGGGTATTTTTGTATCTGGAAGTGCGAGGTGTAAAGGAGGCGTGGGAGGGCGTGCAGGGGTGTATATGGTGATGGGTGTGCGGTGCGAGCTGTGACCACCAGGGTAAAGATTATCATTAAGTTGGCCACCGCCTCCCTGTATTGTTCACGGCGAGTGTGAAACCTGGCACGTACTGTCACTCTCCCCCCACCGCCTCTTACTCTTGCTTCATCTGCACACAATCATCTCACTTTTCTGTGTCCATACATCCTCTCACGCTGTTCTGTTCCTTAAATTTAACCCCTGTTACTTCAGGGAGCACTAGACCCGTAGATGTCATATAGCGCCTGGGGGAATGGGAGGCGATCAGGTTTGGTCCAAGGAAAAATAGGTTCAATTCTGTAGGCCAAGAGTCCTTCACTACCATCAAAGCAGCTCCCTTGAGAGGTGTTAGATCATAAGAAGAAAGAAAGAAAGAAAAAACACTGCAGCAGGTCTACTGGCCCACGCGAGGCAGGTCCAGGTCTCCTACCGGCTTAAGCCAGTGCCCCAACCTAGTAAGATCAGGTCACTCAGGTCACATTCACTTAAGGAAGGAACACGGCATCTGACCTACACAGTCTAGAATACTCTCGTCACGTATCCCCTGTAAAACAGGGATAAAGTTATTCTTTTCTCTGACCATTCAAGGGGTAGGTGCCTTGATGCTGATTAAGGACTCATGATTCAAATAATGGGAGCTACTCTTACCAAGGATTGTATGACACCCATGCGAGTTTAGCGCTTACCCATCAATATTAGAATAGCGTAATGCGTTTAGATCACTGCTGTGAATCAACCCCCTCCCTTCATGAGGTCCAGTTGGAGATGAATATCTTAAGGGGCTCAGGACCTTCAGTTCAAATCTTTCAAGAATAGCACTCGTAACGTCACAACCTTAATTAAAGGTCCAGGTGCTAGAACTTAGCCAAATAAAAACTTGAAATGGATGACCAATCAGACGAAACAAGGTCTGTAGATGAATGGTTCAGAAACTAGGTTTGTTTGTCGGTAGAGTTTTACATTTATTTTTATTATAGTGTCAAACACATGGCAGAAACCAAATAACTCATATAATATATATATATATATATATATATATATATATATATATATATATATATATATATATATATATATATATATATATATATATATATATATATATAATGTTTAGAATTCGCAGAGCAGGTGAAATATTCACAACTACTCTCTGGTCGTAGGAGACTCGAAGCTACGAACCTTGGGACAAAATGCGCAGTGCTCTAACCACCCACACTGGACAATACCTTGGTGCCCAGCCAACGCTAGACGTTTTGATCCAAGGCAGCCAGCCTTCAGGCAGGTGGCATTAGTTATTTCATCTCATCCCCTGCATGCATCGACTGACGAGAGATTTTTACAATGTTTAGAATTCGCAGAACAGGCGAAATATTCACAAACACTGTTCGTAGGTTCGAGTCTCCTTCGACCAGAGATTAGTGTTTGTTAATATTTCACCTGTTCTGCAAATTCTAAACATTCTAAAAATGTCTCGTCGGTCGATGCATGCAGGAGATGAGATGAAATAGCTAATGCCACCTGCCTGAAGGCTGGCTGCTTTGGATCAAAATGTCTAGCGTTGGCTGGGCGCCAAGATATTGGCGTCCAGCCAACACTGCCACTAGCCAAGGACTCAAACCCATGTTGTTTTGGCCCGCCTCAGGGTGAACGTAAACCACATGATGCTGTAACCTACAGGATCACCAAATCCTACAAGAATTATGCACCCAGCAGAGATAGGTGTTTTACCGTAATCCGAGGACATACGGTGGTGTGGGTGCCTCGGAGCTAATTTCATCTAAGAGCTCAGAGGCACCCACGCCAGCATATGCCCTCGGATTACAGTAAAATTCCTAGCTCTGCTGGGTGTGTAATTCTTGTAGGATTTGGTGGTCCTGTGGGTTAGAGCGTCATGTGGCTTTCGCTCACCATGAGGCGGGCCAAAACAACATGGGTTTGAGTCCTTGGCTAGTCACAGTGTTGTTAATGATTATATATATATATTATATTATATATATATATATATATATATATATATATATATATATATATATAATATATATATATATATATATATATATATATATATATATATATATGTCTGCGAATAGGTAAAACTGGTCAATTACCAAGAACTCACTTAAAATTAAGTCCTTTTTAAAATTATTTATTATTATTATTAAAGATTCGCCGGCATTCTCCCGGCCCGGGCCTTTTCCAAGTGGTGGCCCGGCCTTGGCTCCATCTTTAGGGAGTGTCTGAGACCTAAGACTCCCATGGGAAGAGGCACAAGTACCTCCTCATCTTTGGGACCAACTGTCCCCAGGCCTAGCCACAAGCTAGGCCTCTCTGGTCTGCCATCCCCGCCCCAAGGGGGCTAATGGGAATGACAGTCTTATGAGCTAAAAGCTCTGGCTCAGGCACCTACCCTACCCTAGAAGGGCTGGGCATGGTGTCGATTCCTTTTTAAAAATTTCCTATATACGTTTAAA